AATAACCTCTCTCACAGAATAACCTCTCTCACAGAATAACCTCTCTCACAGAATAACCTCTCACAGAATAATCGCTCACCACTCCCTTGCTACGCCTTTAAAGGCTGCGTACTCCTGAGCACTAGCCAAAATGGCGGCCAGACTGCCGCCCTGCCTTGATTTACACGCTGCTTCCCAGCCTTGCTTTTTGCGCTGCGTACAGTGGCTGTCAGGGACCCCGTGTGCCTGCATGTTTAGAGACTCCCCGCCTTTGCACGGTCCCTTTAGCGACCATTTGCAAATGTGCCTCTGTGGTATTCTTGCGTTCTACAATGTGTCAGTTTGTGCTTTGGAAGGGGAAATGCCGGCCAGGGCCGGTCCGAAGGCTCCCCGCCTCTGCCGCTGTTCTATTTCGCTCTGACGGCCCTTGAAGCTGCAGATGTGTGCAGCAGGCTGCCAGCCTCGTCCGCCAGGCAGCTCGCATCCCCCTCCACGCTCGAGCCTCGTTTATTTATGTGTTTTTAGGCAGCTGACCCCGGGGCGAGGCTCCTCCCCCTTGACCAAAATGGCATATTTTTGTCCAGCGTGGCATTTTGCAGACCAGCCAGAAGCCCGGGCGGGTCCTTTGCCTTTTTTTGTATGTGGCTATGGAGACGGAAGCCCCTCCCCCACAGAGTGGGTGACGGTGACAGGGCGACTGTCACTCCCGAGCAGGCGTGTGGGGGGGGCGGTGGTGGAGTACTGGGCGGAGGGGCACCTCCCAGAATGGGAGCCTGAGGGTGGAGTCAGGCCTCAGAATAGATCACAGCTGCACCCATGAGAGAGAGGGTTTCTACATGATGACAGATGTTAGACACTTATGATTCTGATGGGTTTGTACTTTCATATTTGCACTTAAATAGTCCATCTCTATTTGTCTCATTTAAAGTCTATATGCATCCCCTTCTGAATGCTTTACTTGAATCTTTCTGCAGTTCTGTGTAGTTCTCGTTGTTATTATGTTGCAGCATTTCTCTACAATGCCTGATTACCCCGATTATCCCTCTCTGAGCATGACCTCACCGGTCCAAATCGTGATCCCCACCCTATTTGGGGTGGGGGGTGCG